ATTTCTGCTGCTTGTTATGGTAATTTTGCCTTCGCTTCCTTTTTCCTACCCTCCATTTCATACTTGGATCCTTACTCCCATCTGGATTGCCTTGTGTGTCCAGTCTATGCTTTGTGATGTTACGTGGCATGCACAGCTTCCTTCTGCAGTTCCAGTTCCTGACTCTTTATTAACTGGAATCCTTCCATTTCCAGAGAACTTTCCCTGATTACTTGTACAGGCTGGATATGCCTATTAATTAGTATGGCATATTCTTCTTTGTACATCTCTGACTGTTGCATCTTCCATGTTACCTCTCACCAAATCTGTCATCTTACCATGTCCCTGGCTGCTCATTTTTGTCATCCTTTAGAGGCGATCATCCAGGCTGGTATGTGGACTACTACACACATTCGTGGCACACTGTCTCCATCATTTAGCCGTTTCCTCCTTAACAAGATTTCATCTGCCTCCTGTTGCTGTCTTGCATGATACAGTACAACTATGAGTGAGTTACCTTTATTTATATATTTTTCTCTTTCAAGGTCCTAGTTATTTGTTTCTTGTTGGATCCAACTCAGTGGCGAGTGTTGCCTGTCCAGGTACACTTACTGTCAAATCCACACTGTATGGCTTTTTAAAGTCTATAATGCACACCATTGATATGGGGTGTTCTGCAAAACTGCTAGTAGGTTCTTCCTTGCAGTGTTTTGCATCATGAATATGTACACTCATGGACTAACATCAAAAAAGCAGAAGAGGATTGCTGCCCATCCTTACCAATCGTTAGACTGATGAAATCAGGATCAGTCTGGTTTTCAAAATAGGGTTTGTGGTCACCCATTGCACTGTTTTTGGGTGCTGTATTCCTCCAGACTCTCCAGCACATTCCCTTCTCTTCTGCTGGAGTATGGAAGTTCTTATGACTTACCAGTTCCTAGCCATTGGGATGGTGGACCATGGAGGCTTTGTCTTGAGTGTGTTCTATTCCACTCAGTTGAGTAGTGGTGTTCTGCCAGTGTAGATGGTGTAGAACCCTCCTCCTGCTGTGGCATGGATTGTTTTCCCATTGGCCCTGGTTATGGACTAGAGATGATCCACCAATAATGGCAGTTCACCCCTCTGGTTGGGACCCCTCATCCTACTGCTGCCTCCTTTCTGCTACACATAGATGAACCATTTCTGGTAATGCTGGTTTTGGATAGAGCTGATCTCTCACATTGGTTGAAGACCTCCAGCTTTCTAAGCCTGGATGATTAAATCCTGGTCCCAACAGTTCTGAAGATTGAGTTGATCTCTCGATTTCAGCATGCTGTGCCATCATCATTTTACATTAGGGACTCATCTGGATTCAACTGGTTGAGGTTCTCATCCTTCTGGGGACTGGATGTATCTTTCCAGTGACCTATGCAAAGACTAGAATTCAATACTTCTGTAGATGAAACCTAAAATCCTATTTACCCTACCACTAGCAACATCACACTGCTTGGATGGCTTAAGAAACTGATCAACCGCTACATCAAGATCCCTTTCTTTCATAACAATCTCACATTATATGAGTATAAAACTTATTCCGATGGCTTGAGTATATTTTTAATAATATTAAACATTTTTTTAATTCCATTGTTCAGTTGCAGTGTTTGTTCCTTGTGTGAAAATTTTTGTTTAGTTATTCTTCTATAATGTTGTGGTTTTTGATACTTAGTTTCAAAGGTTCTAAAATAGATTCTTTATGATTTCATGATACAATCCTTTGTTTTGTGATTCATATCAGTTCGTATTTTATTAGCACTCACAAATTGATGGCTTGACACTTTAAGCCTACTACTCTCAGTTATATAATTTATTCATCTTCACATGTTTACATACAGTGCACACTTCACAGGCATCCAGTATTCAAAACTTTTTCTAATAAGTATACTGGAATTTATCTGATATTCACAACTTTTATTTTTCTGAAATAATAGAAAAGGAAACATCTTGTAGAAGTGAAACTATAGGTGATCCTGTACATTCAAGTTTATCTTGGCTAAACAGTCATCTACAGCTGCAGAAGTAAAGCAGTGATTGTTAAAGAACCTCAGGATTTATCCCAAAACTTCTGTGAAAGTATATTATTCTGCTGAAGATATTTGTAATTGACATACACAATATATAACTAATAGAAAACATGTTCTGATACTTATTTGCTAGAAAATATTAATAAGATCAGTGTTTCATTGAAATATTGAGTACATAGAATCATCAAAATATGGTAAAGATGTATAGTGTCCCATATTATGTATATATGTTTAATTTTTTTCGCTAATTCAATGATTTGATAGATACTCGTATTAAAATGTTTGTGTGAAAAAGAAAATTCTTCAGATTTGGTTTTCAGTGAATTAATTTTAGACTTATAAAGTTAAATTTAATCAGTTAATACATGTGTACAGTTCAGATTGGTTTTATGTATTTTTTTTAAATAATGCTCTTTATAGGGTTTGTAGATTTATTGAAATGACTCATTATCAAATCAAAATTACTAATGAAGAAATACCATAATATGAAACTCTTTGTCATGAATTATAAGATATTTCAATGGATAACTAAAACTTTTAGCTTTAGATTTTAGCTTTGTAGTTTGGGATTTATTAAAAACTAAGTTGTGTTTCTTTTAGTTTCCACGTGATGTGAACATGAATTATCAAGCACTTTGACAAATAAATATGTGCTAATAACAGTTTGCAAGTGTACATTTTTCACATACTCCTTTCAAGATTCAGTCAGTTTTTTTTTATTTCATACATCATATTGCTATAACACAAGTATCTGGCATTTTCTACCTGATTACTGGAAATAGTTACAAAAGCATTGCTATACACTTATCAGTTGTAATCAAAATATAGGATTAAATGTGTCATGGGGCCCTGTACCCATTTAATTTCTATGTTTGTTTAAGTGTGTTAACTTCCAACTTATTAGGTGAAAAAAGGCTCTTTCAGAACTCATAGTTGGATAAATATCTTAGGGGAATTTGTCTCCTAGATCTTTTACTCTGGTAACCAATTAAAACCCGAGGGGCTAAGTAAAATATTATAATTATATAGTTCCAATATTCAATAATGTATTCCACTATATATTAAAATGTTAACAATTAATTTCCTAATATAAAGGACTAACTAAGATTCAATGTTAAAAAATACAAAACATTGATCTTTGATGGAAATTTAATAAAAAACAAAGTTGAATCATTTCTCTTTTTTTGAGCCAGTTGCATGATTGAAACTAATTTTTATAGATTTTTCAAACTGTTTGAGCTTTACTATTATACCACTTTGGGGATTCTCTGTTTCATTTGGTTATTCATTTTCTTTATCTGTATCACTTGATAATCTCTCATTAAATAATAAGTGTGTCAGCATTTAGTCATTTTGTCCTTGTCTCCCAAAAACTTCATTACATGACTTGCATACTCTTTGTTTGTGGAGGCTAATAATTTATGTATGGTTACTTTTCAATGAGGAAATGACATTATGTAATGTGTGGTTCCAAATTTATTGGGTTTTAAAAGGAGGTAAAAATTGGTGAGTATTAAAAAAATTACACAGGGAGTAGTGTTAGTTTTTGTTACAGTTCTTTGTACAAATGGAGTGTATTTGCAAAGAGAAGCCATTTTTTCATATTTGATGTTCTCATTTCTACAATGGCTGGTGATGAACATAAATTAACATATGATTGCTGAGACAGATTTTACTTGCTCCTGGTGACTGATAGCTTGTATATTTGTACCCTGTCTCTTTATGCAGTTACTTTTTATGAATTGAAATAATGTACGGTGGATACATTTTCTGAATGAGTAAAATGTAAATGTCAAAAAACATTTTGCTGATACATTTTCTGTAGACAGATATGAGCAGATAACCCATTTTGTAGTTTTGGTAGAAAATTCTGAAATAAACGAATTCTTTATTTCCTCAACGTAAATTTCGATCAACACATCATTTTATTTTTAGGTATCAGTATCAACCAAATAGCCCCTCAGTGGCACAGCGGTATGTCTGCAGACTTACAATGCTAGAATCCAGGTTTCGATACCCGTGGTGGACAGAGCACAGATAGCCCATTGTGTGGCTTTGTGCTTAATTACAAACAAGCAAATGTTTTCTGTAATATATATGTAAAAAAATGAAAAGTATATTTATATTAAAGCAAAACTTGTATTGGTGCAATTGAATTTATGTGTAGTTGTTTTTATGCATATTTTGATACTACACAAGTGTCATATAATAACATTATTAATTTGATATAAAAAGGAAAAAAAAATTCAAATTAGTATTTAATTAGAAGTTCTTATTTTATGTCTAGAATTCTTAGTATAATCATCAATATAAGATTTAATCTTGAGCCTTGCTGGCTTTACTCTAATACATTGTTTTTGGCATATGTAATAATACAGATTTATATAACTTTTTTTATACTAAACAAAATTGAATTTCTCATTAAGTTTTAGAAGCAAGTCTTTTACACTGTATTTTGTATGTATCTTATATTTGTGTATACATAAAATGTTTTAAAATTGTTGTCTGAATAAGTCTGTATACATGTCCAGAATTGTGTGATACCCACTGGGAAAGGATGTGTTTCTCCTGTCAGGGGCTATTTGATTATGTAAGTATGAGATCATATAAATTAAAGCAGTGTGTGAGTGTTAAAGTGGAAATATGCATACACATTTATTATTTCCACAAATATATTGAACTGCTAACTAGAGGGAAGGCAACTGGCTGGCAGCACTCATTACAGACTTTTTTTTTATATATTATTGTTATTGGTTTTTTTGTACAAACCATAGTTTGAGAAACACTATATTGATTAATTAATCAAATGTAATTAATTAATAGGGCTGTTGATTAATTGATTAGCAAATACCACTAATTGTTTAGCTCTAGTAATGTGTGTTGTTATATTGACATGCATTAATTTTTCTTAGTTGTAAACACTACTTTGATTGTAGGTTTAAATAGTTTTTCTCTTTATAGGCTTAGGTATCCTGCGAAAAGTGCTCTTGGAAACAACCCATCCTCATTATATAATGTGCCTCAACCTACGGCAAATATTAATTTGCCATTGAACCACCATTCTACGTCACAGTTATCTCCTGAAGGTAGTCTTCTGCCTCACCATAATAAAATGGACTACCACCACAGTAAATCAGTCATTTCCAACATTCCACATACATATGATGTTCCCAGCTATCCAGTTCACCCTGATGTGCATTTTAAGTCTTTGCCATTCTACGAAAATCTAGGAGAGCTTCTTAAGCCAGCAAGTTTAAGTAAGTCCTTTATTTGTTGTACTTTTAATAAAATTATGTGGTAAAATGTTTATTTGAAGTCTTAGAAACAAAGCACATTGGTCAAAGCTGATCTAGGTCATGAAGCGCAGATGAGACATTACTGTTCTGAAATAACAGTTGAATTTATTTTAATAACAATTTTCCTTTTCAGCAGCTTGTTAGATTTCAAAATCTGAACTGTTGTTGTTGCATAAATTGTTTTGTAGCATTTAGCATTAAAATTTCTGTGACCAGGTGGCTATCATCTCATATTAGATAAAATGTTGTTTTCAGAGAATATAAAGGGTAGTGTACTCTTTAACATAAATCAAGATTTTGTATTTTCGTATCATGGATTTATGATTTTATGGCCCAAAACTATTGAAAATGCTGGGTTTCATGTGTTTTTATTTTCTGTTAAGTTGCAGATCATGTTGACAAACAAACTATTGTCTAAGCAGGATTTGATTCCACTGGGCATATAATAAAAATTACTAATTTACAGGCTAGTGCCAGGTTAGATAGCCTTGTTCAGCCAGTGCTAGGTACTAATTATGGGGACCTATATAGGCTGGAATAGTATGTATATTTTTCTCATTAGTATAACTAATCAGCAGATAACCTAGCTAAATCCATACATTCATAATTTCACAAGTAAAGAAAAAAACGTTTCATAAAAGGGATGGCTTTTAGGGATGGCTAATATCAATCTGTCAAAAACAATGCAAACAAGATAGTAGGGAAAGCATTTGCATCATCCCTACATAATAGCACAGGCATACAGTGTAGTAGAATGTTAGCAGACAAAAATAGGATAAATTAAACTCAGTATTATTTTGTATTATAATTATCTGTCTTGTAAATGATTTTGGAGAGAGGGATACTGTATGAATTCAGTGATGTATTGAAAAAAGAAAGAAAGAAAAAGTCTGATGTAAATAATAAGTAAAGTTTTTGGGAGTCTTATATCCTTTTGAGTGAATCAATCAAGAGTTTGGTATCAGAGAAAAAGCTTGATTGTTTAGCCCTAAAACTGTGTAGTTAGGCCTGAGTCTGGTATTATTTAGGAAAGAGAGATATTTTGTACAAGTGGCTCGTAAACAAATTATTCAAATTAACACACGTGCTGTTTTTCATTGTTTTAATTGGACCAGTGTAATAAGATCAAAGCAGTTTCTGGAGTCTAATCTCTCTTTGAAACTTAAACTGGAATTCATGGACCTCAGGATATGTTTTTGTGCTGGCTTGTGCAACCTTGTTGATGGGCATAGTTTCACTTGGAGTTTGTTTTTTTCCATGGAACTGCCTTTCCTCTTATGTCCATTTTTTTCAAACTGGCACATTTTATTCCCTGTTTTCTTTGGGGTGGAGATTATTTGGGATCCACTGTATCTACTTTTTTGTCAGGAAACAAATTTCCTTGAGTGCTTTCACCCAGAGGTTTGCTTTGAATAGAAATTTCATCAAAGATCTGCTGTCTCTTTATATCTTTCCAGCACCAATGATTCATGACTTGCTTCTTTGTGGATTCTGAGTTATTCTGCTCAGGACATTAGGGATTTCCTTTGTTCTTCTGTTTGTTCTCCTTCCACTTCCATCAGAATAATAACAGATAAACTTCATTTTGGGATCTATTCAACATTTTGTTCATAAAGATTTTCAAGTTTGAAAGTTCATTCTAGATCTCTGCTCTACCTGTTTCTAAGGCTTTTATTTATTTACTTGCTTCTCGTCGTGAGATGCTGGAGAATAGTGAATGATCTTTGATCTACTTTGTCTGAATAAACTCTCATTTTTTTAGAGTGGTGTCATCCCTTACTCGTAAGTAACTAATTTTATGAATGGACATATTATATGTTTACTTTCACATTCCATTTTATCTTAATTTTTGCAGGTTTCTTCATTTTGACCATAACAATATATTTTAATTTTTTTACTCTTTCTAATTTTAGTCTTAACCATAGCTTCATATATTTTATGAAGATATTTCACTTCTTTACTAGCTTTAACTGTTTTGGATTTGTTTTCACTTTTATATGGTCATAATTTTTTAAAAAACAAATTTTAGAATATTGTTTACTCTAAATCTCATTATCTTTTTATGTACTTTAATAATTAAGATCTATTCAGGGCACAGGTTTTCTTTGCTAACATTTGGAAGACCTTGATTTCTTTATTTTTTATTACCTTCATGCTCATTATTCATAATGTCAAGAAATCATGTAGGCTCAAAAAATCAATTCAAGTCAAATATTCAGAACCGAATAACCCAAGATCTTTCTGAAACGTGGACCTTTCTTCATCAAGGGCAAACTCAGAATGACTAAGTAAAGTGAAGTGTAAAAAATGTGGAGTGGCTTCATGGTAGATTATCAAGATAACCTGGAAGCTACCATTATTAGCTACCATGATGTAACTCCACCGTTTCTCACACTTCACTTTACTTAGTCATTCCCAGTTCACCTTTCAAAAGTGCTCGGATTAAAGGTTTTTGTGTACATGATGTTTTTATTGATGCTAACAGGCTGCATTTTGTAGCACCTGATTTTTCACACTAGTGATATAATCAACCTATTTTTAAATGACGATTGGAAGTGCAGCCAATATTCTTGTGAATTGCATATGATTTATATTACCACATTGTAAGTCAATATTTAAAGTGTAATTTGTTTTTCTTTCTCCAGTTATGAAAGGTGTCTTTCTGTTTTTCATCTCAATATGTGGGTTCTTTTTGCAGATATAACAGAAGTATATTTTCTTTGAAAATAATATTTTAAAAGTGAAGTGAAATACAATTTCAACATTTTATTTTCTCATTTGCTTCCTTTAATAAAATTCTGTGGAAGACAGGACTTCAATGAGAGTACAGACTTGTAGGTGATAAACATATAAAAAGGAAGCACATATTAAGAGGATAAAAAATTTAAATCTTAATGTACCAACAAATAGTTATAAAATTGTTTAACTCTTCTGACACGGGGTCGGTTGATTTGACCAAGTCACATGACTTTCTGTAAATTTAATACTTATAACTCTCTCTATGTATTGGGTATATCTTCACAAAATTAGGCAGTCCTTCAGTTAATATTTCAAGTCTTTCACATACAAAAAGTCATATTTCTTAGTGAAGTATTTTTAATAAAATGAAATAAGTATTTGTCCCTGAATATATTGAGTATTTGTTTTGAATAGTCAGTGTGCAAAGTAATTTTTATGTTAAAATTAAAAATACTTTTCGTCATCTCAAAAATCTCCAATTTCCTTTGTGTAATCCCTAAAACCTCCTAATGCATTTCAAACGTTTTTTTTCACTAAATCCTTATAGTTTATATGTTATTTTCTCTACCCTAATCTCAAAACTGGATCGGTCAATTCGACTGACCTCGCAACCAACAAAAAAAATCAAAATAAACCTAAATTAACCTTCTTTTCTTTCTAGTATGACTTCAGATTGTAACATGAAACTACATATGTTTATCCTAAGTAGCTCTAAGTTCATAACATTATACATCTATTTATAATTAAATTTTATTGTTTTATTGCCCTTTGAACTGTGTCTAACTACTATCTGTGCCATTATAAGTTGTAAATCACTTGGGGAACGTGCAGCTCATGTTATGCTATTAAATCACATTACCCACGAGCTGCTCGCATGCATGCCTTATGAACCATTTTAATTGTATTATTATTATTATTATTATTACTTATTTTACCTAATCTAGTCTTAAATAACTTAAAAATATCCGTATGTTTAGATTTTAGTAACATTTATAATAATAAATATAGAATAAATATGAAAAACAAGGAATATAGTACTTACCCAATCTTCTTTTTTCTTGCTCTCGGGTTTTGAAGAGAGTTAATCCTAATTTTTTATACTATAAATAGTAATGCACTTAATAATTTTATTTCATTAAATAATGCACCAGAAAATACAGACTAATAACATGCAAAAAGTAGACGAACTCAATTACCTCTCAAGTTTTCCTGGCTTTCTAACTATGCAATAAGAACCATTATAAATTCGTCCAAGCTAGTCATTATCTTTCCCACAGGAACGAATTTTGTACTGTGAGTGAAATTGAGGATATTCTGTTCAGAACACAATGTTATACAATACGTCATTTGATAGATGAAAACCTTGACTTTCTATTGGTTATAGGTAATATATAATGAAACATAAGAGAGAACTATCAACGAATTGTGAAAGAGAGAATGTGACAGGTGGGTGTGGCAGAAGGGGTCTGATTTTCTATTTGATAGCTCTGTAACCAATTTGAAGGCTATAAAAATTATGGTTTGTTTGAGCAATAACGATTTTATAGCTAGTATTTTACGTTTAATTTCATATATTTTCGAGGGGTGATGGATAAAATAGAGATGATGACATGCTAAGACAGAATGTGTCACATGGGTCACACTAGTGGAAATTCAGGATTTATTGAAATATTGCCTTGTAGAATTTACAACTTAAAACTTGTATATTAATAAAATATGTATTATTAGCTAAGACTTTATGCTATTCTAATTGGTATAACATAAACAAAAAGTAGTTTAATAAAATTTTGAATGTAAGACACTAAAACTTTGTGTCATGCGTAGTAATAGCTACCTAGGGCAAGAGGGTTAATTGGAAAATAATTTGTGTAAATTATAGTGCATTAATTGGAAACTGCCACATTGAGGATTCATCATTTTTTTGAGTTCGCTGTTCTTTATTGTTTCTTAGATTCGCTGTTGTACTTTGTCTCTGTGTGGTTTTCTGTGACAGTTTCAGTGAGTTTTCTAACAGTAAATGATTACCACAGTAGATTTCTCTAGTCTTGTCAGTGGGTACTTATTCTACTGATTTTCATACTTCACTTGTTAAGTGCATGTTTACACAAAACCTTAGGTACAAATCCACCTGGCACAGTAAATAATGATTGGGTGGAAAAAAGTTGATGCAGCAGTAAACCGTTGAAAAACATGTAACATTCAAATGAATGCATATGTGTGTATGTAGCTTAAAACATATTCTCCATAATAAATGGACAGAAACAATGTAATTAAAAAAATTTTAGTTTAAAAAGGGGAATAAGGATCATCAAAAAGTACAGAAACAAGCTGAATCAACATGCAAAGATTATATCTTCAACCCTCTTAAAAAGAAAGTAAACAAACTAGCCTGGAAATCGTCTACATTATTTTCTCTAGCTAAAAATTCCTATTTTGACTCCACTAAAATTGATAAGTACTGTAGACGTGTATATATTTATTGTAGTGGGAATAAGTCTGAGATAAAATGAAAGTAAATAGACCATGTTTACTCATGGTATTATTAACAATAAAACATGCATGTTGAATAAAATTTTTGAAAAGTTGAGATGTGAAAATACAATAGAAAACTTGGTGATATTGCTACTGTTATTTTGCTAATCGTGAAACTTACAAATGAATTTTGAAACAAGTTTTTAATATTTTATTAACATGAATTCAAAAAGTACTAGATTACCAATATATTTTGCAAACAATAATAAAAAAAATTAATTTATTCAAGAAATTTACAGGAATGCTCTGAGGCTTTCCAGCTATCATAAATAATTTAGCATATGTTTATTATTATTTTGTGATATTATTGTGATAAAATTGCAAGTAAAATAATGGATTGAATTAAGGTCTGAAAATTTCAAGTTTTGATATTAGGTAAGAATTTACTTGACATTTTATTGTAAATAATATATTAATGTTCATGTAATATTGTAAACATTTTAATTTAATCAGTTTTTACACATTGCACCAAAGATTTTAGTTTATATATGACAACCAGTATCAATGGAATGAGGTTTCTGTAAATGTTGGTCTGTCGTCTAATCATCATTAATAATCTACTAATAGAAACTGTTTTAAGTTCATAGTATAAAAATGTTTTTTTTTTGTGTGTGTGTGTGTGTCTTGATAGTGCCTTCAAAACCTGGTCGGTTTCAGGAAAGTGTGTTCTTCTTTCACTTAACACCCCAGCAAGCTCATGATGTTGCTATGTCAAGGTGAGTTTTTCTGTCTCAAACTGAAACTGGTATTTATAGAAGGAACGAAATACTGAAGATTTGAAAAGTGAAAAAAAAAATAGGCTAACCTATCTATGTTCAAGTGAAGTATTAGAATACTGTATTAAATGCTTTTGGAATTTAAGTTAGCTATTAAAGTTAGCTATCTTGAATTAATTATTTTTATGTATATAAGTAAAAAGTATGAATATGATATCTTAACTAAATCAGTTTGATATATATCCATGTTCACAGTGATGAAACAAGTGTCTTGTCCACTTTTCAGGTTTGTAAGTGTCAGAAACAGTAGTTTGTTATTAATATTAAGAGAAAGTTGGTGGTTAGTGTTTTTCCGAAATGGTCTTGCCAGTACTCCAGTTTTTATACCCCATCAGTTTTGTGTCATTTTTGAACATACATATCATATGACTACTCTCCACCAGTAGTATTGTGCCATCTATACTGGCACAGCTAGCTCCATCTGCTCTTCCTGCTCAATTCTCACTTTCTTGATTGATGTGACTTTGTTTGGACGTGTGCTTAAACTTTTCAAGTGTGACTACGATTTTTGCTTGTGATTTGTTGCTGTTGAGATTTTTTGACCAACTATAGTTGGGTGTAGGCATGCCTTGTCCCCCTCATTTGTTGGACCAATATGCTTTAGCTCACTATTGAGCCTTGGATCCTTTTTTTTGAATTCTCAGCATTTGGATCCTCTTCTTTCCCTGTGGAGATTGAATCCTGAGACTTCAGTTAACTTTAATCAAGCTCGGTTTTCTTGGGTTACTCTTGCCCTGACCTCTTTTTTACGTTATCTTTCTTCCCTCCAATTTATGTCTGAAGCTTTTGAATCGGGACCCTCCTATTTGCCACTATAGCTTGTTTATCAGCAATATTCTCTCTATATTTGGCTATTGTGTTGTTGGTATTTGTTAGGGAGGAATGCATTACTTATGAGGGTGTGTCTTATTTTCTATCATCTCCATCTGGCCTTGGTTTCATGTGAAACCATTTGTGGAGGTCATGCAGAT